AAACCTGTGTTGTGAAAAGTCATGAAGGTCTTCCAATGAAGCTCAACTTTGGGAAGAACTTAAGGAGGACTGGAAAGAAGTTAAGCACGCATGTGCAGTTAAGTGAGACAATGCCCAGGAGAATAAAATCTATCCATGTATGTTGGGGTTTGCCTTTTTTGCCAAATCATTTTGTCCTTTTAATAACTTGTTTTATTTAGTGTGTTCTTCATCCCAATATAATTTTGATTATTTTACTGAACCTGAAGTGTCATTAAAAGCAAATATTGTGTAAATATCCTCTCCGGACATCACTTTTGGCCACTACTGTATATATAAAGTATGATCTTGCTGATTTTTGTTCAAATGTGTTATAGACAACAACGTGTTCAACGTGTTATAGACAACAAATAAAGGTTTTCTTCAGATGTGGCGTGAATGTATTTTCTTGGATTGAAATATATGAAGGGTAAAATATATTTTTAAATGCTTTTAAAGATATATATTTTAAAAAGTATACAAAATATATTTGGTATAGAAAATATTTACAAACATATTTTGAAACATTTTAGCAAATATATTTTTGTATATTTTTCATATATATATATATATATATACATATACATATGCATGTATGTGTGTGTGTGTCGTTATTATTATTAATAATATAATACCGAGTGTCATTGGTGAGAATCGGAGCCAATGAGAGGACAGGATTCTCTTGCTGTAGCAAAGGAAGACGCGTCCATGTAACGGGACTCCTCACATCTGCGTTTACTGCCATCAGACACAAAGCTCATGCTCACGGAATCGAGTGTAATATAAACTTTAAGGTAAAAGCGACATTTTATCTCACGCATTTATGGCCTTTATTGGGTTATTTGGACTTGCTCGAGCAATCACTCGTGGTTGAATAGTGTGGATAGTTCATATCTTTAACATGTACACTGTCGCAGGCTTCAAGCTAACGCGATCCTTCCTCTTTGTGGCAACAAACAGAAGCAATTCACCCAAAACGACAACGCTTCCGTTTGGTTATGATAAATATGAACGGACTGTTTTTTTAATAGCCGACATGACGAACGTTCCCAGGCTTTATGACTGGAATTGCTGAACACTGTTTTGGCTTGACTTTAGCCGCATATGATGCACAAACACGGCGAGTCTAGGTGTGAGCTCTTTTCTGTTTCTCCCTCTCTTCAGATGCAGTTTATGCTGCTCTTTAGCAGGCAGGGAAAGCTGCGGCTGCAGAAATGGTACGCGCCGCTGTCGGACACCCAAAAGAAGAAGATCTCCCGGGAGGTCATTCAGATGGTGCTGGCGCGCAAACCCAAGATGTGCAGTTTCCTGGAATGGAGGGATCTGAAAATAGTCTACAAAAGGTTAGAAAACCATACTGAATGATGTGGACTGCATGGAAGGAACTACAGATCCATTGTGTTCGGCACTTTCCATGAATATGGTAGACTTGGGTGTTCCCGGACTTAAAAAAAAAAAGCATTATAGGCACAAATTCCATGTTTGTTTTTTTTGTGTTTTGAGACATATTCTACATATCTGATAAACTGTTATCTGACTAACCTAATAAGAAAAGCTGGTAGTAGCTAGTTTTAAACACCCCTGTTTGAATCACCCCTTTAAAATGCTGAACATGGTCTGTCCCACATTAGAGCTCTTGACCTTCTCAACTGTACTCAACATTTAAATATTACTTTTGATATGTTGAATTCATTGTAGTAATTAAGTATTTAATTAAAGGGATAGTTCACCTTCAGTTGCTGGTACCCATTGGCTTGCATAGTGTTCCGCTGTTAAACACGATTATTTAAAAAAATAAGTTGAAATAATGTCGGCTGATGGCTTCAACAAAAGCATATACCATCAATTAACAGCCTCGTAGGCTTGATTTGAAATGTTTATAATTTAATGTTAAAAATCAGTTTCCCTGTGGAGAAAATGAATTGGATTTTTACTTACACAGCCTGACTTTTGCACTTTGTATTATATTTAAGTATTGTCATATTATATTTGTGTACGGTTGAGGGTTTTTAAACGTAAATGTAAGTTTCTACTGTCAATTCTCAACTTTTGGTCTATTTTACAGTGCTATTTTAATCACAGTCATTATTGCCTTTGATATTGTCAACAAGTTAGATGAGAATGACGGCTCAGGACAAAATGATCCTGTTTTTGATGGTTTGTAATACTGTGTAGCTTTGCACTGCGGCCAGACAGAAAGAACAGTTTCTTTGTACTGTTTGTATTTGGTGAGCTTATTTTGCTTTTCAGATATGCCAGCCTGTATTTTTGCTGTGCTGTGGAGGACCAGGAAAATGAGTTGATAACCCTGGAAATCATCCACCGATACGTGGAGCTGCTGGACAAATATTTTGGCAGTGTGAGTTTTGTCAGCATTTGCTTTTTAACCTCAAGAAAAATTGCAACTCTTTCTCCATTTACTGCCCTTTCATTGTTCCAAACCTGTATGACAATATGACTCCAAAAAGTAAAAACAAAAAAAAACAAAAAATCACCATAACGTAGTGCTGCATGATGAATTGTATTTTAATCGTGATCACTGTTTCTTCTTCTCTCGATTTATTAAGCATATACTTGTCTGTGATATTTGCCAACTGGCTATTTATACTGAAAAGTTTCATTTTAATTTGGCATTTGCTTTATCTAACACTGGTAACAAGCCTCCATAAGCTTTCATGGTTGCTGTTACCAGATATCAAGACCTTAAATCCCCCAATTCTTCATAAATTAATACATTTTCTTCCCAGTGGTTTACTTAATATTCCCAACCTGGCAACCATGCACACATGATCTCTCTACATTACAGAAAAAGTGCTGAAAACACCGGCAAACATAAGTTGGAGTTTAGCGATCTTTATTAAAATATCCAGCTCAAATAAAAGTGTAATGCAGCCAGTCATAGCTTCTTTCATATGGTCGCTTTTTGCTGCGACTAAATCTGTGAGCAAATCATGCGAGTTGATTTTGCGCTCATGTGAAAGTGCAATGATTCTGATGAAATGTAAAAAAAAAAGAGAAAAGAATGACAATAGCCGTGATTAATAATCATTTTTGAGCAAAATAATCGCGATTAACCGTTTAACCATTATTGTGTTATTGTATTAAACCAATGACCATATGTTGCTATATTTAAACTGCAATCTCTCATTGTGAAACTCTCTGTGTGTTTGAACATCAGGTGTGTGAACTGGACATTATCTTCAACTTTGAGAAAGCTTATTACATTCTGGATGAGTTCATACTGGGTGGTGAAGCCCAAGAGACATCGAAGAAGACCGTGCTGAAGGCCATAGAGCAGGCTGACATGCTGCAGGAGGTGAGGAACACACATACTCTGTGTATATGAAGTGAAAATTTGTCAATTTTTACGTTTTTGAATGAGTTTTCTCTGATTCTCGCCTCTAACAGGAAGCCGAGACACCACGTAGCGTTCTGGAGGAGATTGGGCTGACATAAATGAGGAGAACTCATCCTACCCAAACACTTACACACATCTTCCTTTCTTTTTTTTTTCTGTGGGCATTTTCTCTACATTTGTATTTTAGGTTAGCTTGCAGGCAAAAGTAGTGTTTGAAACGATCAGCACTTCCTGCATAAACAGTTAGAAACTGACATTTGTATTTCTACTGCCAAACATCCGAGGGAATCCAGCACATTGAAATGGTCATCTTAGTTATGCAAATTTCCCATAGTGCTCGGCTGTTTGGATTCAGGTTTGGATCAGTACATGTGTAGCAAAGTTTAGTGTCAGCATCCCCACACTTCTCTGTAGATTTTAAGCATTACCTCTCACCTTCAGCTGCCTTAAAACACTCATTTCCAGCTCACACAGTTTGCCAGTATCTTATGCAACTCTCAGTAGATCCAAGTCAATGGGTTGTCACTGTTCAAGACCAAGACTTTCTGAAGTGTTACGGACCAAACACTCTTATTCAAACAGATAATGTAACATCAACATTCAGAATTCATAGATTGTATTAATTAAGGCACAAGTAAACATCAGTATTAGTAAATTCTTGACCAGAATCACTGTAAACACTTAATTGGTTCAGGCATATCAGGCATTTGCCATTCAACAGCTAAACGTTTTATTTCCAATGCCAAAGAATCTTCTTCACCATCCTCATGCCTTTTTTCCTTAAAAGCATCTTTGTATGCTTTCGTATTGGACTTTGATTTTCTGACTTCCTCTTGAAAATGTCTTTTGAAGCTTCATCAAAACAAAAAAATAAAAGTCAGATATTGCAATATGATGTGCAAATCTTTGATGATCTTTTACTAATGACAATATAATTTGGTATGTATTCTCATCATGAACTGGAAATTAACCCTAAATGCATCTTAAAGGGATAGTTCACCCAAAAATCAAGTTCTGTTTGTTCCAAACCTCTAGGCTTTTCTTTTTTCTGTTTAACACAAAAGAAGACATTATTAAGAAAGCTAGTAACCAAACAGTTCCTATTCCCCATTGACTTCCATAGTATTTTTCCTTACTATGGAAGTTAATGAGGATCAACAATTGTTGGTTACCAGCATTATTAAAAATATCTGCTTTTATGTTCAACTGAAGAAAGAAATTCAACTTGAGGCTGTTTATATTTTTGGGTGAACTATCCTTATTGTGAACAATTAATGAATGCAAACATTTAATTTTAAATTTACTTTTTGAGCTCATACTTTTTAATAAAAATGTCATAATTGGAACGTGACGCATGCAAGACTTCTTCAATCATTTCTGCCTTAAACTCTGCTCTTTTTTTAATACTTAACATCTACTGTGACCAAGTCAACACTACATTTTTTTTCTTTGTCAATAATCTGATGAACGTCACAAGATGGAAGTAAATGTCTGCTGCTACTTACGTTATGTCGCGGCGTTAACGCTCACACCCACATAATGTCTTTGAGCATCTCAGTGAAAAAGAACAAAATATAATTTCTATAATCAACACTTTTCACAAGGTTTTAGAAAACACTAGATTTAATTACAAATGTACAGGCAATTTATTCATCAGCAAAATCAGGCAAACTAGGCATTTTGTCATGCAAACTAAAATATCAACAGCTGCTTTCTGACAACAGATTATGTATCTATCCAGACTGTGTGGTGCTGTCAGATTTGGTAGCATCTAGCGCACAATGGATTTCCTCTTCCGGATGACAACCCTCCAAATTTGTGGTCTGTACTTTATCTACTGGCGAACCAGTGCTGGACGCCACCGCTGTACGTTCTTCGGCAGGAGTTTCTGATTTAGACGGCATCTCATCACGCTCCTCATTCCGGGAGTCTTCGTCAGACTCCGAGCTTGAGCTGCGTGATTTACTCTTCTTTCGTTTGTGTTTCTTTTTGCCCTTTTTCTTCTTCTTGCTCTTTTTAGAGTGCTTGTGGTGATGTGCATCCATTCGGTCAGAGTTTTCTGGGCTTTGGCTTTCCCTCCTGTGACTCCTCCGTTTCACTGACCCATTTTTGGACACATGTTCTGGGCTGTTTGATTTTGGCGTCTGTCTTCTCGAGTCTGCTGATGTACGTTCGTCTTGCTTTAACCGGTCTCTGCTGTGGGATCGGCTCCTGCTCCTTCTGGATTGCTCTCTCTGAGACGCTGATCTTCTTGTCATTGATTGCTCTGACATCCTTCTCTCTCTGCTTCTGCTACGACTCCGCTTTTCCCTGTTTCGACTGTGTTTCCCTCTGCTGCGACTCCGCCTCTCTCGACTAAGACTCCGCCTCTCCTGGCTACGGCCCCGCCTCTCTTTGCTGCGACTCCGCCTCTCCCGGCTACGACTCCGTCTTCCCCTGTAACTGTACCGCTCACGGCTGTGGCTCCTTCGATCTGTCCTCCAGCGCTGGGATAAGCGCACAGGACTATTTCCACGCTGGAACCACACTCCATCTCTGCTGCCCAGATGGCGACTAGAAAAGCCTCCACTGCGATCAGGGGACATATGAAGATCGCGGTCCGCCTCCCAGAATTCATTGTCTGGGTTCCTGAACACATGAAGGAAGTTGCAGTGTTTCCCCTTTGGACATTTCCGCCTGTCGAAAAGACCTGAGAACGTAAGAAAAAGAATATAACCGTATAAGTCATATATAAAGAAAGGCCAAAAATAGTGATAAAATGAAGAAACTAATACTATTTAAAGATTGAGAAATATAGTTTTTTATTTGGACTGATGTTTTCCTTACCACATATGGCTGTTTTCCATCTAGTTACTGGGGAGAATTCACATTGAAGTTGTCTTCCAGCGTACCAGCGGCCATTAAACATCATGAACGCTTCTCTACATTGCTCCTCTCTGCAGGCATATAAACAAAGATATCAAAATAAAATACAACGATTGTAATTTCTCCTCTGCAGCAATGTCTCTAATATAATAATACTGGACTTACGTGTCATACTGAACGTAAACGTTCCCTCTCAAGTGAGGTTCAAAGTTGCAGCTCACCTATTAAAATATGGGAAAATAATGATTGTTAATTAAATTTTTGTTTATTTATGAATTTGATTTCAACATACTTTTAGAAACGATATTACATTAATTTAATATAACCTAAATTCATTTAAATCATTTAATGTTTTAAAAAATGAATTTTAAACCAGTGTTATTTTAGTATCATTGAGATGCTATTATTTTGAATCAGTTCTTTTAATTAAATTTTAGTTAAAGTTTCAGTAATTTAGTTTTTTGTCTATATGTCTATATAGTTTTTATAAAATTTTATTTCAGTTTTAATTTTAGTTATTTTACACCAATTTAGTTATTGTACATCAAGTTAAACTATGTGAAAATGAGAAATGTTGCCTTGGCAACTAGCTGAAATAAAGTTTTTTTTTTAAAAATATATTTTATTTCAGTTAATGTTTATTTTATTTCAAGTAACAAACTTTTTTTTTTGGATGGTTTTAATTTTAGTTTCAGTTTTAGTTAGCTATGATAACACTGATTTAAACATTACATTTTATTTTAATTTATTGTTTCCATTATGTTGACGATTTTTAGGTCTTTAATTTAAATTACCTTGAACTGCACCACCCTCCCTGCATTCTTGAACTCTGGCAGAGCGTCTTCATAGAAATCCAGGAACTGCTGGTGCATTTCCTCCTCGCTGTACTCAAGACTGGCATCAGTGTCGTAGTCATCACGTCTGCTCTGCTCCATCCCGAATGTCACAAACATCCCCCTCACCATCAGAGTGGTGCTGGATGTAGGGTGCTCATGCTTTCGGGAGCACCTGTTAAAAAAAAAAAAATCATTAAAAACAAAAACCTGACCAGAAATGTAATTTTGACTGTCAAAACCCTGTGACAAACTCCTTGGAAACAGCAGCTTAATAAATACGTACCGGTCTCCAAACCTACAAGCACCCGTTTTAAGGAAGAAGGGGCAGTTTGCCTTGTCCTTTTCAGTTCCATAATCCTTTGGGGCATCAGGGTTTTTCCAAGGACCACCATTTTCCAGCTAATTGCAACAATATAATGGAGACTTTTCATGATTTAATTATTATCGAAAACTGCATTTTCCAACTTACATTCGACATGGAAAGCAAGATGTTACCTGACTCTCTGCTTGATCCAGCATTTTCTGTACAGCTTCCTATAAATGGTGCAAACATACACAGTATGGCGGGTGAAATTCTGTGGTGTGCAAGCACATGTCTGTTAGAATTAGTTAAGACAATCTGTCAGATAATGTGTACATTATAGACTAAAGTTATCGGTATTTTGTCATTCAAATCTGACTGTTTATAGCAGGGGTTCTCAAACTTTTTGGGGCCTTACAGAGGAGAAAATGTTCCTAGGACACCCTCATAATTATAACAGTGATTAAGCACATGCATGGTTAAATTAAAATAGCATGTCTAATTAATTGAGAGCACAAACATATACAATTTAACAACCATTTATTAAAAGCTTAACGAAAGTTGTATAATTAGGGCCCTATGAAATCTTTTTGATTTTTTCTCAATTTCCATCTTAAAGTTTTAATTAAATTTTACTAATCTAAAAGCATGTCTAATCTAATAAATTAGTCAAATGTTAACAACTTATTACAATAACATGAAATGTATTATTTATATTTATTTATTAACTTCTATGTTGTCTGCTTTAATATTTCTGGATTTGTGATTTCATACAAATTTATTAAAAACTGTAGCAATCAAATGAAGGCATTAACAAAACGTAATATTTTCAAATGTAATCAAATGAAAATTGAACAATTCCCAATTGTTTTTTGGCCAAGTGCTGCACAAGAGGTTTACTGTTAAAATTAAAACATAGAAGAAAAAATAGTGTGATCATTCCTTTAAAAATAAAGTTGTAATAACGGAGAATCCCTGGTTTACAGCACATAATAATTATGTTCTTTTTGTAGCATCAATAAGCAACATTATCACTATAACACCCAAGTGACATGAAAAGATACATGTTCTTCACTGGAAGTGGACATTTTTGTGTATCTTAGTTAAGGAAAGAAAGACAATAATATTCTGCTAAACAAACAATATCACACACTGTACACATGAAACATAGACTTATGGCACAAGGCGTGTATGTAAAATAGGGCTGCACGATAAATCGCATGCGATATTTAACGTGCATCTTATCAGTAAAGCCGGTTCTTTAATCAGCGGTAAATAAAACCATGACTGACAAACTGGAAGCCTTTAAAAGCTGATTTGTCTCAGGTAGCATGAGATGTTTTGATGTCTGATGTTGGTATAAGGTGTAAGAGCAATAGAGGATATATGTAGACATCTGCATCTTTATCCTCCCAGTGCAGGGATCACCTCTCTCTCTCTCTTCTCCTGTTCCTTCTGGTCCCGCTCCTCTTTTTCTTTCCTTTGCTGCTCCTCCCATTCCTCTCTGATCCTCCTCTGTGGTTACAGAAGGACAGAAAAGCAGATATTGGAGCATTATATGTACATCCAAATTGAGAATGACTGCAGAATGTCATGGATTTAATGTTACAGTGACACATTTAATTTTACAGATTGCTCACCTCTTCTTCCTCCTTTCTCTTTTGCGCTGCCTCTTCTCTCTCCCTCTTCAGCCCGAATTCTTCCTGTGCAATTCTTTCTCTCTCCAGCCATTCCTGGTGTAATCGCTCACTAGATTATGTGTAGATTAACAGTTGCAGTTTGTCCAATTAATAATAATTTGTCCTATTAACAACATCTTATTTCATACTGAACTTTAAAAGACAAACCTCTGCTCATCAGCAGTCTGTTCTTCCTCATCTTCAGTTTGGTGCTCCTCATTTTGTGAATGATCTAGAGCTGAAAAAGATGCGTTTATCACGTGACAGAGATATATATATATATATATATACAGATACACACACACACTTTTATATACATACATAGAGAGTGTATATATATATATATATATACACACAAACATATAAACAAATTATAACATACACAAATAACATAAATTGTGTAAATACAACGTAGCTATAATCAAAATATAAGTTACCTGCTTCTCTTAATTTAGCAATAGCTTGACGTTTCCTTTTCCTTCTCTCTCGTTTAAGAGCAGCTCGTCGTTGTTTTTGACTAAAAAGAGATTAAATAAAGAGTTATAAATAAATAGGAAATGATTAAAAAGAAGTCTGCTTATTGATTTCTACACAGCTCCAGAATAAAACCGTCATACAACACCTGAGCACAACAGAAGCAGTTTCACACTCATCTAATCGACTCTCAGAGTCAGGCGTCTGAAACGAGCAACAATTATCGTCCGTCATTTTAAACCATTATTTACACATTTCGCAGGTAGACAGCAGCGGCAAAAGCTCTCGATAAAAGCAACACATTTCCCACCAATCATACAACACGCGCGCAGAGATGACATCACTATTATCGTCGAACTCTAAACGCGTGTGAACGCGCATGCTCAGATTCGCAGGAAGTCAATTCACTCTAGCGAATCGGTTCATTTGGACGACTCGCTAAAATTAACCACAACTAGTATTGAATAAATCAGTGCAACTGAAACATTCACTGTGTGTTCTTTATTACTGTTTCACTGTTGTTCCCAGTATTGATGCCTATGATGATGATGATGATGATAAAAATGTAGTCTTCTTACTATAAGCAAAGTCATCTTGTTTATTCAAGCAAATTGAAAAACAAAAACAAAAACAAGAATACATATAACCAAACTTGACAGGGGTATATAAAAATGGAAAAGGAAAGAAAAAATGGAGAAAAAAAGCATTGCTCATATTTAACAGTTGCATAGATTTGTATTGCTTTTAATTTGAGATATTTTCAAATAGGCCTATTTTTTCATGTCAATTTTGAATTATTCACACATAGACATTTTCCATTGATTTTATGAAAATAATTACGATTATAATAATTAAATTAACAGAGCTGGTAGTAACTGATTACATGTAATCTGGATTACATAATCAGATTAAAAAAATTAAGTACTTGTAATTAGATGAAATTACATTTTTTTAAAATACTTTTTTATTGATTACATATTATTCACACAATAGCATATAAATAGCACAATAGCAATAGATTATTCATAAATTATTGATACTCCCTAATTCCTCTTTTTCATCTTTCAAATTTTCCTTTCTAAAATAGCTTACCAATATACATTCAGAAAGACTTCCAGTTTTGTGGACATTGAAACAAAGACCCATCAATGTTCAGGTGGCTACACAGCATTTGACCACTGGATTTACAAAAATCATTTTAATTTAAATAAGTGTTTTCTCAACATTTCAACATTGCATCAACTACTGATGAACACATTAATTTGTATTTGAATTATCACTCAGTAGGTTGTTCAACCATGTATTACTATGTCTTTGGAATGCTTTTTTCTTCCAAACACATTAAAATGCACACATTCACATTATTTCTTATTTACATGTAATGCAGGGATTCCAAGGAATCTCTTTCACCTAATATATTTATTTGAAGCCCCCCAATGTCTCTGACATTGGTTAATGGTCACATGACAAGCAGATAAACAAATTAATTTTTTTAATAAGTGCTTTATTTTGATTTTTGTTCAAATGATTTATTTTAATTTTATATTTTTATGATTTAATTATTAGCTTTTCATTAAACTCGTGAACCCCCTGTAGTTCCTTCATGAGCCCACATTTGGGAAACCTAGTTTCACCCAAACTAGATCATTAAAAACAAGTTTAAATGGGTAAATCTTCTATACATATTTTTGATTCTTCATTTTATTTTCTGGCATACTCCAATTCTTGTTAAAACACACTTGACATGCACTTTATGTGTGAAATCATATTTATTTTGTCCATCAAAAGTGTGCTGTCACTTTAATTGAGACTCGGCGCCGAAACCGTCGTGCTGTGCTGCTCACGCTTGCGGTGTGAATCGACGTCACACGTCAGTGAATTGATGAATCGGTTCGACTGAATAATAAAAAGAGTCGGTTCAGAAACACGACTCGCTTGTGAATCGGACAGCGGTAGCTCGGATCGATTTGCGTTTGTGGGATGCGCGAGCTGGTGCTGCGAGTCGTGAGCGTGAACCCCTGCAAACTAAGCTGTTATTTCTGCTTTTTGGCTGTAAACCCCATAGTTCATTCAGTGGCTACCCCGCAGAAACGCACGCCGAAATGGCAGACAAAGAAGGTAAAGTTTCCGCGTAGTGAATTACGTGCAGTATGTTTTGTTTTGGCAGAGTTTGTTAGCTTTAGCCTAAACTGCTAATGGATTTGACCCACATATTGACATGAGAATGAATGAGCGTCACAATCTAAGTCAGTTTTTACCAAGTACTCACGGTTCACTTAAGTTAAAACTACTGATATTATTAAATTATTTTATTGACTTGAATAATGGTTTCTCAAAGCAGGTTGAAATTTTGTTGTTCTTGACTTCCCTCCATCATTCGTATGCTGCAGTGTAACTGCTAGATCATGTTACATTTCAGTTTCTGCTTTATATGACAATACAAGCAACTTTTTACTAATCAGTGCGCTCCCACATTGCAGTTATTGTGAAATGTGTTCATTTGGATGCGTTTGTGCTGAATTTATCCATCTGTTTTCTTTTCTCAGTGTACGACGATGCAGTGGAGGAGAGAGTCATAAATGAGGAATACAAGATCTGGAAGAAAAACACACCATTCCTGTACGATCTAGTCATGACACATGCACTGGAGTGGCCGAGTTTGACGGTGCAGTGGCTTCCTGATGTGAACAGGTAATCCAATGAATAGCCTTTCCACCTTCTGAACATAACAGATGACTCTATAAATGATTGTCTATCATTGTGCAGACCTGAGGGAAAGGACTACGTGGTTCATCGGCTGGTGTTGGGCACACACACTTCGGATGAGCAGAACCACTTGGTTATCGCCAGTGTTCAGGTCCCTAATGATGATGCTCAGTTTGACACGTCCCTCTACGACAGTGAGAAAGGAGGTAAGAGCTGATCGGACCCTTAACAGATGACAATTTTGTATTCTTGTTCACGTTGAAGTCATTATACTAAAATTGTAATTATATGTGTGTTTCTTCAGCAGGTATGATCAGGACGTCAGTTGATGAATGAGAGGGAATCATTTCACAAATATGATGCATTTTCAACAACCTCAGAATGTGGACTGGATCTTGTTTATGCCTGTATTTAGCATTTATAACCGGAGATGGATGTTAAAGGGATAGTTCAGTTCAGACATAAAAGCAATCCATATGAAAAAACTAGCACATTTGAGCTTCTGTTTTACCATATTTGATGTGCTTTTTGTGCGCTGATCAATGTTTATATGTGAATAAAAGCCTATATTATATCTGTTCATCGTGTAAAACAGTTGTCTCTTCAGAAGACTTGGATTAAACGGTTGAACTCATATGGATTCTTTATGAACATATTGAAGCATCAATGTTTTGGTGAAAAACAGTGGAGGGGCAGAAATCTCTCTGGTTTCATTAAAAATATCTTAATTTGTGTTTCAAAAATGAACAAAAGTCTTATGCATGTGAGTAAATGATGAGACTTTCGGCTGAACTATCCCTTTAATCTCAAATGTATCTGTAAATTACATTTTTTTATTCAGTTGAATGATACAAACTGATGAGTTCTTAAGTAAAGTTGATATAACTGGGACAGAGATCAGACGTTGGACATTATTAATGATTGTATATAATATGTCCCAGAGTTTGGAGGGTTTGGATCGGTGAGCGGAAAGATCGAGATTGAAATTAAGATCAACCATGAAGGAGAAGTGAACAGAGCCAGATACATGCCACAAAAGCCCTGCATCATCGCCACCAAGACCCCCACTTCTGACGTGCTGGTGTTTGACTACACCAAACACCCATCCAAGCCAGGTCAGTGGGTCTCATTCACTATAAATGGTCTGGATGATTTTGTACTTCTACACACAGAAGATCTTCCCACAAAAAAATTCTGTCTTATTCACAACACGTGCATACAAACATGAATTTGTTCTTAACCTTGTCCTAATGCTAGTGAATTTGTAACAAGAGTGACCGAGTGAATGAGGTTTGTCGTTTGCCTCAACCATCTCCTTATAAGGGCTTTCAGCACAACCTTTCCTTTACAGCCGTTCGTCACTCTCAGAAAACACATGACGCTCTCTAAAGATGCGCTCTCGTCCGAAAGATGCAAGATCCTCGAGCAGATCCAGATTACAGACATCTGTGTTGTACAGAGCAAGCTATAACAGAACTTTTCTAACTCATTCACTGTAAATGATCAAATATTTTATATTTAAATAGATTTAATACAATTATAAGGCCACCCACAGTATGGGATTTTTATGTACACGTGGTTTTATTTTTTGTACAATTAGGAGGAAAGTTATTGGTGAACAATGATTTGTTCTTGAAAACATTTGCATGGAGATTTTATGCAAAAATTCATGCTTACACACTCTTAGTGAATGAAACCCAGTGTTTTTAAGTTGATCCAAAGAAGCCAGGTAAATTATGCAAAGAACGATTATTTTGATAATTGATTTGGCTGATTATGCCTTTGATTAATTTGACTTAAAAAAAAATCAAATTTTTGGTGTCTTTTTTGGTGTTTATTTCAAAAGTGAAACGTTATTCTGCCCAATGTTGTCCTACAAAAAATTTGCAAATTGAAAGCTATAAAAACCAATTTAGTGAATGTATGTGGACTATTCCAAACATTGTGCAAAAAAACATGCCTAAAGAAAGAAAGAAAAACAAAAGCTAAATGTTCACTCATCTGGTTAATTATTATTATGCATTTATACTCCATACATTTAACGTCCAACAAAATACTTATTCTTCTGCACTTTGTCGGTGTGCCGGCACTTGTTCACTGAAGTCTATGAAGTTTAATGGAGACTCGACACGTGTCTGCCAGAGCACCTAACAGGGCAAGCTGCTTTAAATACTTATTTAATACTAATTAATACTAGTTTGCTTGAAGCTTATGTTTAGGACAGCTTAGGTCCCACAGAAGCTCACTGTCTGGAGTTTTTCTGATGTGTTTTGTCCATAGTAATGCATTATTCACGACTGTAAAGTGACCGATTTGTTGATGATTATTGATCACTTGTTGCAGCCTTATATTAAATCATGCGTGAAGACACTCGCTTTGAATTATAAATGTGAGTTGTCTATTTGCAGACCCCAGTGGAGAGTGTAGTCCAGACCTGAGACTGCAGGGGCATCAGAAGGAGGGATACGGTTTGTCCTGGAACCCCAACCTGAGTGGAAACTTGCTCAGTGCATCAGACGACCATGTGAGTGATCTCCCATTCAAAGCAGTGCTGTTTTAGTATCATTGAGACACTATTATAGTTTCTGTTAATATTTTGAATTCGATTTTATGTTTGTTTGTTTA